TATATATATATATATATATATATATATATATATATATACATATATATGTATATACACACACATTTGGCCAACTGCCAGTTTTTGTGATAAACTTTGTTGTAAACTGATTGAGGACACTACATTAGAAAACATACAGTTCATTGTGGTTTTCAACAACATACTGTAAACAATGTTTTTTTTACAATTGTCTTGCTGCCCATGTTACAGTAAAATAGTGTGCAAAATACAAAAAATATTTTTTAGTTTATGGTTTGGCTTTAACTATGTTTTCCAGAATTTGTTGATCTGATTGCAGAGAATGTTTCCCGACACTTTCCCTTTTCTTCCTTTGGACATTTAAATGCAAATTTCATTGGATGGACATCAGATGACACTTTTTCCCCAGAATTCCTGGTGTGTGACTGACATGTTAATGGTTAACCAATGTTTTTAAAAGAAGAGGCAGAGTTCAGAAGGGCTGAAAGCAGCAAGAGCCATTTTAATCAGGCAACTTCCTGTTTTTCACTGGAGAGAGACTGTTCACTCCGGCTTACGTTTCATCCAGGCTGGCTGTAAGTAACACTGCTTGTTACCATTTTTAATCATTTTAAAAGTGATGTTCATCTTTACGTTGTGGGTTATTGTTTGCTTTCATTTGACTGTAAAATAGGTAACATGACACATTCTCTCAACTCTAAAATCCCATGATTTTCTTGATACATATCTCATGTTTTCTGTAAATTAGCTATTTTAGTTAATGCTTCTGTTAGCATGAAAGTGGTTTAGATAAACAAACCTGTTTAATGGTGCGTATGGGTTTCAGGTGGAGGAACAATGGTGACACTGAATCGTTTGAGTGTAGAAGATCCAGACGATGGAGGTCCACTGCTGCCTGTGGTTGCAGAGACTACAACACCAACACCTGTCAGTCACAGACAGAGAATCGTTATAAACACTGAGTCCAGGGATTTTTTCCTCACCAGGTATTTCCACATAGCATTTCCCAAGACTGAAGGTCAGGCACTAACCGTTAATCCTAAAATAGGGCTTCAGATTTTTTAATCACACTGCCAAATGTCCTCAGGGCACACAATTCTAAATGTGGAATGAGTTGTAAGAATTTTATACCAACTTGGCTGAGCTAAATGCAAACAAAAATGTATTGTCTTCTTGCAAAATATTAATTATGTATGTTAAAAACTGTTTTTCATGGGATAGTAGTGAGCCTGGGCTCAAACTGTACACAAATTTTTTTAAAAAGAAGTGTTACTAAATAAAATTTAAAAAAGAAAGGCAAGAAGCAAATTAAAATTAACCTATTACTTTCATTTAATTTTTTCCCAAAATTATTTTATTTGCATTTTTATTACAATAACATTCCAAAAAAAATAAAAAAGTATGCCATATTTGGTTGAGTATACAGTATAAACAAAAATCCAACATAAAACAAACAAGTGCTCTTACAGTCATTTGAGCAGTTTAGAATCTGATCTTCTGTCTCCAACTTTTTAATATATGAAATGAACTTTTTAATATATGAAATTAACTTTTTAATATATGAATTGAAGTGTCTCCAAATACGTTAAATAACATGTTTTGTTCTATTTTCTGTTGCACAGGAAGGAGAATTTGAGCATCAGTCTGATCCTGTTGATCGGATGCTACTTGGTTATTTTGATTCCTGCACATATCCCATTGAAGAAAGCAGCAAACGTCAGCTATGACTACCTACACTCCAAAGATCTGGTAAAGACGCCTGACATTAAAGCCTTGTAGATTCTCTTTCACGAGTATTGACTGAAGTGTTTACTTTCTTCAGGTCTTATTAAATCGGTCAGCCGCTCTGTTAGCACATCCCTGTGAGCCTCGGTGGTCTCCAAGCCACATGAAGCCTTTGTCCCATTTTGAAGGCCTCCTGGACATCCCAGTGTTCCTGCAGGATCGACCTCTGGTGTGGAATTTGACGCCTCCGCTCGGGCTCCAGGGCAGTGAAGAACATCTGTCCGTGGCTCTTGCCTTGATGCCTCAACCTGGGCTGCCTTCATCGCTGACAAACGCAAACAGCTGCAGGAGATGTGTGGTGGTGGGAAACGGAGGTATTCTTCATGGGAGCCATCTTGGATCACATATAGATCAGTATGATGTCATTATTAGGTAGGTGGTCAAACAAACCCAGAAATATATTTTAAATTAATCATTTTAACTTGCACTAATCCATATGTGTATTTAGTGACAACATGGCTTTTTTTTCCCTTCACATCTGACAATACTTTGTAAATTTACGTTTATATGTTTTTATTTTATCCAGATCTTTCAAGGTAAACTGTTCTAGTGCATCAAATTCTATTTGATGAACGAGCCTTAAACGTGAACTCCAAACATAAAAACCAACTAAATTATACAGTACAATGCAATACAACATGATGTACTTTTATTCTCCCCTTGGGGAAATTTGTCTTAGACAAGCAGCTTTATCATTTGGCTTACTTGAGACTGCAGCTTTACAATACATTGACAAATTCTTGCAGTTAAGTTCACATTGACATTTCTAATGGTTTTAGCCTCCAAACTCTTCTGTGTCTCACACTTTTATACATGCGTTTTCTGAAATGATCAAACATCCGATATTTAAATGCAATGAAAAAGTGTTTAAATAGTCCCAGTCTGCACCTGAGGCTGCAGGAGTGTGCTTGGGTTACTTTCTGCAGACACAAAAAGTCTATATTTTTTGCTTTTGCACATGAAAAATCATTAGCAGCTCTTATGTTATGCAGGCAGATTGCAAATTATACTAGAAAGTTATGATTATTATAAACTGTTTTCAACAGGTCTTATAAAACAGTGTAAACTCATAACCTCATGTTCTCATAGCTTTCAGAAATGACACTGGCATTCTGCAAAGCAGATGAAAAATATGACTCAGTTCAGGAAGATTTACAAAACTTATTGTTTTATCTTGCCTCTAGTTAAAAACATTTCAAAAGCACTAGATTTGGTGTAAAATCTATTAGGGACAGAAATGCTTTAAATTATGAAGAGCTACCGTTTGTAAAAACGAACATGTCTGTTGCCAGGCTGAATAATGCTGCAGTGCACGGATTTGAGAGAGATGCTGGTTCGCATACAACCATCCGCCTGATGTATCCAGAGGGAGCCCCTCACTCTCCTAATGAGTACAAAAAGACTGCTATGGTTGCTTTGGTGGTCTTTAAAAGTCTGGACTTGGACTGGCTGACTTCTGTCATCACCAAGCAGCCTCTGGTAGATCAAGAATCACAGCTCAGAGATGTGTTTGATTTGCCATGAATGTCTCAACAATTCATGTAGCAATGCATCTATCACACCATTATGCTACATTCCCCATATATGTTTTTTTAAAGAGCTTCTGGTCCAAAATGTGGTTCTGGAGGGAGGTGGTGGAGGATATTCCCCTGAAACCAGAAAACTTCAGGATCCTCCATCCAGAGATTATTCACAAAACGGAGCAAGTCCTCCAGAAATATATTCTGAAGCAAAAAAATGTAAGTTCATCCATGCATATTTAACATTCTGGTTACATTGTACATGATATATATTTTAAGGTAATACGGCATTTTAATGGAAACTAAATCCGTCACATCCCAATAGTCCAAACTACAATGAGCAAGCACAATACTCGGTTCTAAGAGCAACAATAGATTTATAACAAAACAACAAGAATAACTTTGGCCTTTGAGTTAACTAATTTTGACTAAATCTGGATGTTTCCCTTTTTAAATAGATGGTGCCAACATTAGGAGCCAGTGCTGTGGTGATGGCTTTGCAGCTGTGTGACCAAGTGAGCCTGGCAGGGTTTGGTTACGACATGCAACACCCAGAAGCAAGGCTGCACTATTACGAGACCATACGCATGGACTCCATGAAGGCTCAAGTAGGTTTACACTAATGAACAAACAGCGTTAAGGACGCTCCAGAGCTTTATAGTATTTATTTATGCATGTTAAATCCAGGTGGTGCACGACATCAGCGCTGAAAAACTCTTCTTGAGGGACCTGGTGTCTTCAGGAGCGGTGACCGACCTCACAGGAGCTCTTTGAGCCCAGGAATGACACAATGAACTCTCTATGCACTCCTCAGTTCCTGCTGCGAGCTTCTTCTGTAATGTCCTCTGCACAGAAGCCTCCTCAGCGTGGTCTGACCTTTAACATGCTCACAGTCTCCAGGCTTCTCCCGACTGTAAATGTTAAAGGACTGTAAAAGCTCGAGGATTTGTAACTCAGTTTCAGTGAACTCATATCTTCAGCTGATGTAAGTATAATAATAAAATATGTATTAGAGTGGTCAGACAAAATACTCAGTGATTAAATAAATGCTACGTTTCATGGTTCACTTAGTGCAATTTTCATTTTGTTTGCAAACCACAATAAACAAGTGAATCTAGGGAAACAAATGTTCACACTCCACAAAAATAATGTTAAATCAGAACTTGGTCAAATGAATGATGTATGTTTCTTCTCATATTTGCAAGATTTGAAGACAGAAGATGCACAGCAGTGAAGGAGGGGGTGGAGCCTCCAGTTTTTTTTTTAGTTTTTCCTTTACAAAAGACCAAGTTCACTATACAGCAATTTCTACTGCATCGTTTATATTGGTTACTGGCAGCAGGGTTAAAAATTAACAAATGTACTTATTTTGTAAATAAAATAAAAATAAATTGCCAACCTTATAGCCAAAATTTAGTGTTTTGACGTATTCGAGCTCAGGGCATGTACTGATTATGCTAATGTAACACCAAATTCTAGTTCAATAATACTGAACAGTAGTCCCTCGCTACTTCGCGGTTCATTTTTCGCGGACTCGCTCTACCACGATTTTTCAAAGTAAGATAGATGACCCGTACGATCGGCATGGATTTTTTAAAATTTCTAAGCGCTCTTTTAGAGCACTTAAGAGTTTAGAAACATTGCTTAGAATATTGCAAGCATGTGGAAAGGGTTTAAAGCGCCTTGTGTGTGTATATGTATATATATATATATATATATATATACACACACAAACATTAAAATAAACTACTACTTACTTAAAAGTTGCAAGTTCATACAACCTTTATTTAGACAGGTTAATCCCAATAATACAGTACTACTTGTACTACTATTCCTACTTTACGTTTTTTCACTTATCGGACTTCAGGGTACGGATCCTCCTCAATAAACGAGGGACTACTGTATCTATAAAATTAACTGAAATTCAGTCATATTTGTGCTTGTTATCATTTAGCTTTGGGAACCACCCAGAATTATATTGACTCAAAAAGTTAATTGATTGTAGACGTGCATGCAATCCTTTTCCTGAAAGTTAATAAAATGTCCTTCAGATTTTCAAGCTATTTTGTGAACAGAGACAGAGTTCACTCAACGTGTGGCATGGAGGCTGCACAGCTGCAGAAAGAAAAGCTTTCAGAGAGTGGTGAAGGCTGCACAGAAAACTGTTGGGAGTCAGCCTCCTCGCCATCACAGACACACCTCCAGATGTAGGAAAAGAGCCACCTGCATCATGAAGGACCCCACTCACCCAGCATACACACTTTTTGCCCCGTTCCCCTCAGGCAGGAGGTTAAGGAGCATTAAGTGCAGAATCACTAGACTGAGGAACAGCTTCTACCCTGAGGCTGTTAAGACTCAAATATCTAACCAGAATAATCGTCGTTATAGATCACATCATGTTGCTGATCTATTTCATGCTGCTGTGTTCATTCGTGCTCATCTGCTCACACAGACTCATGTTCATGCTGCTGTTCGGCGTATTGTTTTTATGCCATTAGTGCTTAGTGTATATTTAGTTAATGTTTTTCTTAGTTCATATCTTTTTATTTTACACTTTATTATTGGATGTAACTGGGACCCTGTGTACATAATTACGTGACAATAAAGAATCTCTGAATCAAACAGTTAATGTCAAAGGTTTAACCAAAGATTTCCTTCAGTCTTTTAGCTACAACACCCAATTATAGCTTAATATTTGTGAAGATCAACTGACCTTTAGCCGTTTTTATATTTGCTAAAGTCGAACAGCCGTGGTAACCATTTTAAATCAAAACATAAATACAATAAACACTACAAGCACTTAAAAAGGGGAGGAAATTCAGCATCATTTATTGTACGAAAGAACAGCACGAGTGTTTTAACAACACAATATCTACAAAACAAAGGTGATTTTCTTATTCTTCATAAGGCACATTGATTCATTGTAAACAAAAAGTGCACAGTGGTAATTTGCCGTGCAAATCACAGACGTGCTTCCAATAAATAAACTTCAGAAGACTCAACCTCATACACAACAAACCCAACCGTTTAAACACAGCTGCAGAGCACAGTGAGTATGAGGGCTCCTGAACGTCTGTCGCTTCAGTGTGACGGCCGGTTTACAGCAGCGGGTTGCGTGACGGCTCCCACAGTTTGCTTGCAAGTTGTCTGCAGTGCTGGAGGATGATTTCAGTGGGGATGACCCCCAGATGGACCGTCAGGAGCTCGTAGCACTTTACAGTCTCAACTTTATCTTTATAGTTCTTGCTGTAGTACCGAAGTAACCTCCTGCAGGACATACAACTTAGTTAAAACTGAAGTTTAAGCCTTATGAATTTACAAAAATCTGTGTTTATGTGCGTTTGTTACTTGTAGTAATCACAGGCAAGCACCCCGATGGGTGGGGAGTCATCAGATAGTACAGGTATGTCCACTGAGTCTAACTTGTACCCCTGATGGATCAGATGTAAACATTAAACGTTTAATACATCAGGTGCTGTAACGTGACGTGATGGTAACTTACAGTTTCGTTTTCAAACCAGAGGAAGTAACAGAAGTAGAAGTCTCCGTCACGCAGAGTGACGGTGGAATAACCCTTCTGAAGATAGCGCCGTGTTGTTCTGACCAGGCCCCACACCTTCAGTATGCAAGGACAACACAACACTTAGCATATACACGAACAAAAGCGATAGCTTGTAACGTGATGATTTATGCTGAATTTCTGCAATAATATCAATTAAAACAGGAAAGAAATGGTAAAATAAAAGCTAAAAAATGCAAAACAAAAGATAACTAGCTAAAATTTAAATGCGCAAAAAAGTAACTAAAAGCTAAAGTTAAAAAAACAAAGCTAAAAGCTAAGTATACTGAAGCAGATTTCAAAGAGCTCCACGTACTTTCAATGAGGAAAAAAATAGTCAGGGAAAACCAGTAGAGTATTTCAAAATGTTCATAATTTATCAAAACCAAAAGTCATAGTAGTAATACCCTAAACAAGCAGAACAGTTTGATATACGAATGGTTAAAATAGCCGTAAGTATCGTGTAAAAAATGTCCCGAAGACGATATAAACAGGACAACAACAGTGTGGATGCTCAGCGCTGACACATTTAGTCCGTTATTAAAGCTTTGACTAAAACTAATAAAAAAAATAAAATAAAGTGCACAATGACCTTGTTTTTAATATGATGAGCCACAGGTCCCTTTCCCAGCTCAGACGTGGTGCGCTCCGTGATGCTGAGTGACGGAGCGATCATTTGGCCACTCGATCGGTCCACGCAGATAAAATGGATGAGGCCTGGGAAATCCTCCAGGTACGTGAGATGAGCTTGGTCAAGATCAATAAACACAGTTGTAGGGATACGAAACGATTATCAAATTTCTTACAAATTTTATGCACTTTAAAGATACATTGCAAACCACGTTTGGTTAAATAAAAAGAATATGACACTATTGTGATGTTCCTCTTGCTTTTCACCAACAGGAAGTCCTTCCAGTCCATCAGTTTCTCTCTGCAGAGTTTTAGAGCGAAAGAGTGGAAGAAAAAGACGATCACAAACAAGGGATGTAGCTGTAGAGTTTTACAGATGCAGCTACACTAAAATAAGTTAAAAATAACTGTTGGTGTATTCGTACGCACTGCACCATAGCCTGGGCTCGTTCCTGCAGACCAAGGGAGAGGCGCTGAGGAACGTCCATGAGGAAACATTGTCGATATATGCTGCACAGCTGGGTCTTCATTTTCTTACACAACGGAATAAGACTGCAACAAAAACATACATGAAATCCCTCAGAGGGGGCTTGAGATGGCATTGTTATGAGGCGCTTTGGCCAGCAGGGGGCAGCAGAGGACTTACTCTCTGCTAAATCCAGATTTTCCTTTGGCAAAAGCTTTGTTCTTAAACTCTGTCCAGACGCTCTGTAGCTGTGCAAACTGGGAAGAGAAAGAAAATTCAAAACGTGAAAATGCAAACCGTTGTTATTTAAGGTGTTAAATATTGGTTTCTGTACCGCACTAAAGGATCATAATGGATTAATTCAGCAGACTGGAAATAAAACCATATGTTCCAATTTACAATAAAAATTAATTTACACTAATGACTGTAGTACAGCTGGTAATGTTTTTTTTTTGGTTGTTTTTTTTTAATAATCACATGTTCACACAATAAGGAGGGGTTAAAAAAACGTGACATTAAAAAAAAGCATTATTTAAAAGCTTTACATGCAATAAAAGTGTTGGCAGATAATATTACAAACCTGAAACTCGTGAGGCCCTAAAGCTTTGATAAATTTGTCCAGTTTGCTGCGAACGTCATACATGTTCAGAGGGCTTCTGGCTGCAGCAGGACTCCCTTGGCCTTCTTGTAAACGCTTCTCCAGCTTGTTAAAGTCCTCCAAGTATTTATACACAGACATGGCTACTGCACTGTTGGGGATCTGGCATAAATATTAAAAGAGCAAATATATGCTCAGGAATCGTATCAGCTTAATACATACATATCTGCAAACTGTGCCACATTTCTTCCTCTTCCTTTTAAGAGAAAGCTGCATGCAGATGTTACATGCATCCAAAAACCTTAGTGAGCAGAACCAGGGTGATGCCAGGCCACAGCGGGAGACAGTACATGGAGTGAGGCATCATGGGATACAATCCATCTTTGAGGCACACATCAAGGAAAACCCGGCGAGGGGTTGAAGGGTCGGGTGGACCGACTTCCAGTGTGTGTAAGCTGTCCTCGGCCATCTGAAGACACCATGTGAGAAGCATCACTTCTAAGAACCGACTCGGCTTCATCGTGAAGCGTTTTCTTACCTGGATGTCTGGGTCCACAAACTCGAACACGGGAGTTCCTCCTCTGCCAGCTTTCTCTGGCGACAAAACAAAACATGCACATTCAGCAAACTGTTGCAACGATTATTATGATGTATTCTTTGCGTGCTGCTCGTCCATCCATGCAAACTTCATATGACGGCTGACTTTTTAAGACACACTATGCTTCTTTAAAATATTGTATTTATTTTAATATGAAACTACCTGCTACCCTGCATGTAAAAAAACAAAAAAACAATTTTTATTTGATTCGTTAGATTTGCGAGAGTTCCATTAAAATCTGACCCGTGGTTTGTGAAATATTTTGCTAACAGACAAACTTTGATTTGATTTGGGCTAGTGCCTATCCTTCTTACTTACAATCAATCCATAAAGTTCAAAAATCTTTTGCAAGCATTGTCGCTAACTCGCCACATTTAGCTCTGCCCACACCTCTGTTTACATTTTTTTTTTTATTCTTACAATTTACAATGTGAATAAGTATCAAACAGGAATTGTGATGTATAAAGTTATATATCTTTACCTAAATATTTTCATAATTTCCTTGAGTTTAATTCTTATTATCATTCATACTCTAGAAGAAGGAGGGATGATTTACATATCCCCTTCTGCAGAACCACTGCTGCTAAATATCCATTCATGCATCAAGGTGTTGTGCAACAGTTTTAAACAACTCTATGAATCATGTACAACATTATTTGTATTCAAAAGAAAGTTGAAACAAAGTTTACAGATATTTTTAACATATACGTTTAATTTTTTACTATTATTTTAATATTTTTGGACAATTTAAATTTATTATAAACTATTGTCTATTGCTTTGGTGTGTATTTGTGTGTGTTTAAAGTAAGATGTAAGCTTATATATAAAGCTTTTATGATTTTTTTCCTTTAATTTTTTAGAAGTGTGTGTGTGTGGGGGGGGGGGGGGGTCTTGTAAGCCGATTTTGGGTTTTTATGACCTCCCCTGCACTTTTTTTTTAAATCTTTTCCTTTATGTGTGTTGTTTCTATTTTGTGCAAACAATAAAAATAACAAATGATAATAATAATAACTTGCACACAGACAGAAACAACTGATATAACACAAATACTATGATTCTGCCCAACAACACACCTGAACTGCTGGAGTCTCTGCTGGAAGGTGAGGGCTCCGGGGTGTAAAAACTTTCAGGACCAGAACCAGATGTGCTCTCAACATCCTTCACAAACATACAGAACAAAACTGAGAAAAAAAACACAACAAATAAAACAAAACATGGAAACGACAGAAAAAAAGACGCCCAACATTTTGTGGTTTGTTCGTTTGAGCGGCTGTGAGCAACTTGTTACCTCAGGACTTGGATCATCCAGGTCCACATAGCTGGGGTACAGATTCTGGGCCATGACGATGAGCGCCAGGAGGTCTGAGGTGGTGAGGATACTTGCGTTGCGGCTGCAGTCAGGAGACATGCTAAACACTTTACAAAGCTCGCTCTCACAGAACTGTAGATAAAAACAGGAACTACAAGCCAGATCAGGGACTGGGTAAAACAGGCAGGTTAATGGAAATGTGTACCTGGAGTAGAAAGCAAGCAGTTTAGTGTGGACCAGGATGAAGGCGTGCAGAACCTCCTCTCCTGCCCTCTCCACGCTGCTGTTGAGCTGCTGCACCAGGCGGCGCTCCAGGAACTCGATGCACTGCTCACACAGAGTGGGATGAATCAGCCTCTCCACTGCCTGAGAGATGGGACGGGACGGAGTCAAAAGACGGGTGAGCAGAAACCACTACATCAACATGTTTAAAAACATGCTTTATTTTTTCTTCTTTCGGCTGCTCCCTTCTTCAGGGGTCGCCACAGAGAACTAACTTGCACGGACTTGGCAATTGTTGTTACACTGGATGCCGTTCATGACACAACCACAGACCACCGAGCTACCACATGTAAAATCAAATGTTTTGTTTCATTTATTTATTTGTTACTGGAGAAAACTACTCAAAAAAGGGGAAACTGGTCTGTCTGTCTATCTACAGCTCTATCCATCCATCTATCTACAGCTCTATCTATCC